CGCCTCCACAAGTGGAACCTCGTACAATATCTCCTGTCGCCCCGCCATGAGAGCATCGATTTGGTCGAGCGCGTTCTCCAGCTGTCGCTATTTGACCTTGGACTTGAACGATGCAATGATACCGGCATATTGTGGTTGAAGATAAGTAGTTGTATTCTTCGTCAGCATTCGATCTCGAATTTTTCTCAACACAGTCTCGGTGTGAAGTAGGTGCGGTGGTGCATTGTCCACGAGCATCAAAATCTTTCGGTCTTGTCCAGCCACTTTGGCACACAACGTATTTAGGTAAGTGTTGAAGATGTTACCATTCATCTAAGCCTTCTTACTTGCATGGTACTCGAATCCGAGCTCTTCACCAGACTGGTCACGGAAGCGGTCGAACAGCACTACAGATAAAGAGCGGGTCAGTGACATCACTGCCATCGGGATTCGTGGTAAGAACAAGAGCCAAAGGTAATTTTGAATTAAATGTGGGTCTGTTAGCTTAAATAGGATACGAGTGGTAGCGAAGGTGTAAGTACTTGCAGTACTTGCTTACAAGATCCATGTCAAGAGTCCCACAATGAGGACTGCAGCCGACACAGTCGCGGAGGAGGAACTTCCAGTGCAGTTTCCGCTATCCTTGCCACTGGACGACGCGGCCGAGGGGCTGACCTTGTCGCAAAACGTACTCAGGTAGCTAACGTTGCATTTGCATTTGACTTCACTGGTGCACACACCGTTCGAAGAGCAGGCAGTGGGAGAGCTATCGTGCAAGGAGCATTAGGGGCCGGTAGTTTCCTCGGAACAGACGCATAGGCTGGTCCTGGGGTCGCAGGAATTCCTTGACCACAGCTGCCAAAACTCTCGGAAATATTCGACGTTGCTTCCAAGTAATTGTCGTCAGTGCGGTACACTTGGTTGCACACGCACTGGTACGTGGAAGCAAGGGAGCCCGCAGGGGCACATGTGCCGCGTGATTATTTTCTTGTTCTTTTTGGTTCCAGGAATTTGATTGCGTGTAATTGAGCAGTGTGGTGACATGCAAGTAAAAGAACGATGTCTCATCCATGTTGTAGATGTTGCCGGCTTCATAGCCACTGGTGACATTCTGGATTTCACGCCCTCCGATATCGACGTCGGCTTGGGGGGTTTATCCTGCTTCGCCATGTTCAATTTTGCTGGTAAGTACGTGCTTTTGCTGGAACCGGTATAACCAACCCTTCGAATAGGACGGGATATCGGAGTTGGGCACGTCAAGCTGGGCGGCGTAGTTGGATGCTTGCTTGCGGATGAGCTCACTGGTAATGCAAACTTCCAATTCTTCACATCGTAGTACCCACTTAAGTACCATATTCTCCACTTCGGGTAGTTTTACGCGGCGCTCATGTGATATAGCATTGCTGTGGGCTCGAACACTCGTTGTTTGGTAGTGCTTAAAAGTGTTTCAGATGGTTGATTTGGACGGCTTCGTCGAGGCCCAAACGTTGTGGCTGCCCATATAGCCAAGTCAGAATAGGAAGCGCCAGGGTCG